TCTTCGGACGAGTGCACAAGGAATGCCGCCGTGAAACGAGCGTTAGATAACATGGCTCTTTGTGCTCCATGTTTTAGTAGAAGATTTGAAGAGGTGACCCTATTCAAGTTGTAAATTGTGCTGTTTAGGCTGCTTACCACGCCAAAGGTCGTGAGATAGCGGTTAAGTCTCGTTTGGTTCAACCAAGCCCTCAATCCTTCCGGGGTCGGATAATTGATTCGAGCACCCATATGGGAGGACAAAAACGTTGACGATCTCCTCAACTGGCAATCGAAAAATTATTGTATGGGTGGAATCTCATTCAAGTGGTATTACAATCCAGAATGGAAATGAATGGCGTGTCTCAAAAGATTCCAAAGAACCAAAACCTTTGAGAACCTCAGACTAATTGAGCAAGGGTTTCGTCAAACAACCTGAAAAGAACCCCCTGATTGATAACTAGTCCACCGTTGAATTTTGTCTTCTCTTATAACCTGACTGCCATATTCGTAGTCATGGCCCCAAATAATCTCTACGGACTTTGTCCGAGAAATTTTCTCTTTCTGGAGATATTGGATTAGTAATGGTGAACTAGTACCAAGGTACCTATTGATTGACCTTTCGGGCAACGTGATCAAATTTTTGAAAAACCATGTGGTTGTAAACTGAAATTTTTGAGAGTTTTCAAATTTTCTTCACTCAATCGAAGTATATTTGACCATATTTTGATTTGAATTAAAGTATATTCTTCGTCCATGTGGTTTAAAAAGGGTAAAAGGGGCCAGGCTTTCGACGTCGATCAATCCTCTGCGGAAAGCTCCACGCATTTCACTTCACTCTTAGTGGCCTTGGATGGGGTACGGTCTATATAATGACTTGCAAGGGCCAGTCGATGTATAAGTCAGCGTCTTTCTCTCCCAGGTAAGTCTGGTAGCAACTGACTGACCCATATGAGATGGAGTGAGTGTGCGTGAAAAGTGGTGCCACTTGCAGCTACACAACTTCCGCCTCATGTGGCTTATAGTTATGCTAATGTACAGTATGTGGAGTAAATGCAAAAAAAATTGGGAAAAAGAAGCGCTTGCTTGAAAAATGGACATGAAAGTGATGACGCGCATGCGCACCAGGACGTCCCGTGTGGTCCGCAGGGCATGACGCGCAAGTGCGTCACGCTTTCGTCAACGAGTTAATAATGATCAGATGACTGACTGACTGTTCAGGAAGTTCATAAGACTATCACTTCCACGAATTTGTTTCGTCGTGGAGAACGTGTTGCTATCGGTGCGTCTGGAGGCAAGGATTCAACTGTACTAGCCTACGTGATGAAGGTAACAACTTAACTTCATGAGCTGATTTTTTTGTACAGGCAGCTTTTCCAAGTGTTCGTTGTTTATTTACAATGCCTGAACCTAGTTTTATTTATTTGTGTCGAATAACCCCACCTACAGCGCGAACTACGCCCACTTCCTACATACGTATACCATGTACATACAACTTGTCCACTGGAGTATCTTATCCTGTGAAACTTTGATACAACATTCACTTTGTGAGAAGCGTTTGTTTCGCGCGCAACGTGTGCTGGCACCAAGCGAAAATGTATTCTTCTAATCAAATGCCACTGAGGCTAGTTTTTAGCCAAACCTATCTTTCTCGAACAAATATTTCTTTTTTTTTTTTTGTTTTCGATGAAAAAATCAGCACACATCTCTGTAAGGTGGGATAGGAAGGATGATTGTGCCCAGTACATAGTACATATTTAGACACTTGCCAATGACGCTGACGATTATGGATTGGAGATTTAGTTGTTACTATCTATCGAATGAAGGAATAAAAGCTATCGGTGAACGACTCTTTATGAAGATAAGACATGCTACGATTATCGTTTGTCTCCGCTTTGTGTGGAGAGGGGGAGCTGATTTTTCATCTCATCCTATTTATGCAACTATTGAGATTTCAGGCTGTCCAGAGGAATCGTGTCGAATATTGTATGCCTCTGACGGTAGTTACCTACAAAGATTTGTACGGCTGGACGATGGATGAGATCGTGGCAAAGATAGGAAAGAAAAATAATTGCACATTTTGTGGTGTCTTCCGTCGGCAAGCTCTGGACCGGTAGGTTCTTTAGTCAATTTTGTGACATATGTTCAACTTTAATTATACCGATTCGCTCTAGTGGTGCTCATAAAATCGGCGCGTCTAAGTTGGTGACTGGTCACAACGCAGATGATATGGCGGAAACCGTGCTGATGAACATCTTACGTGGCGATGTTGCGAGACTTCAACGTTGTACTAGCGCACTCACTGGTGAAGAAGGCGAACTTCCTCGGGCTAAACCGTTGAAGGTTAGTTACAGGCTTAGAACAAGAACGGCAACCGAGAGGTTCTGGAAGTCAGTTTCAAAAAATTTGTCTTTCTTTTACCACTAACGAATGGTAAGTGCGGTAGAATGTGCATTCCAAGGATAATTGAGGAGAAGCAATAAACAGAGGGAAAATACAAGGAGCACTGACCAGGGGCCATATTCAATCCTTCCCCCAGGGGAATGCATCCCCTCCTCTGATTCAATCCTTGGGGGGACAAAAAAAAAGGTTGCGGACCGCCATACCTCTGTGTTTCTATTTGCCAGACAGTTAGAGCAGCGCGATCCCTCAAGGAAAAGAGTGCTTCAACAGTGGGAATACAGAGGTACGGCAGTCCTATGACGCAACCCTTTTCTGTCTCCCCCGAGGAATGAATCAGAGAGGGGGACGCATCCACCTGGGGGAATGATTGAATACGGCCCCAGTAATCTTTACCAGTTTGCTCACATTATCATGTACACTGGACTTAGATAACGTAGATGAGAAGTGCCCTTGCTGCTTGCTGCTGATCCTGCAGTCAAATCCCGAATCGGATTTTGCCCAGGCCATCTCTCCGGGGTCGGTCAATTGGTACCAAATTGGAAAGACAAAAGTGTTACTTGTACATCGGCAAGTCGGCGTATAGACCTGTCAAATTCAGAGGGGAAGGATATTTGAAGGAATTCGATCCCGACAGATTTCTCGCCGTCGAGATCGAATTGGTGGGTTGTTTTGTTGGGAAATCATATAAGGAAGTATAATGAGGAACGTCAATGAGGAGAAAAAGCAAAAAGCGCCATAGAAAACATTGAA